GGGCAGGTCAGGAGAGGTCTGCCACGCCATGTGGGTCATCCCCCTAGCTGCAGAAAGCTTCACAGTGCTGCACTTTAACATTGTGCCACCAGGGAGGGCCTTAATTCTTCTTCTTTTTTTTTTTTAAAGCTTTATTAATTTGTGCATACAGAACTGGGGACAGGCCAGAGGTGCAGGGACAGTGAGAGGATTCACCAGAGTCAGAGTGGGGAGCAGAACAGGCTGAATGACGAAGTACACTGCTGAGGGAGCAGCGGGCGGGTCAGGAGAGGTCTGCCACGCCATGTGGGTCACTTCCAGGTGGGGGATCGAACTCATGCTGAAGGGACTTTAGCTTCTTAGTGCTGCGTTTACCCTCTGAGCCACCAGGGAGGGCCTTATTTCTTTGATCCAACCAGAATTTATTTTGGTGTAAATTAAACATAGGGATCCCATTTTATTATTTTTCATATGTTACCCACTTGCTCCAATACCAGTTGTTAAGAATTTATCTTTTTCTGGCCCCCCATGGTGGTGCAGCTGCTATAAAGGGCAGCACTGCAAGCTGGCAGTAGCGGCTTCAGTGCGAGTTCGATCCCCGCCCCAGAGGTGACCCACATGTTATAGCAGACCTCTCCTGACTCGCCTGCTTCTCCCCTCAGCAGTGTACTTCGTCAACATGCACCAGCTCTGCTCCTCACTCTGGTTATGGTGAATCCTCTCACCGCCCCTGCACCTCTGGCTTATACCCCTGTTCTGTATGCCAACAAATAATAAAATAAATCTTTAAAAAGAATTTTAAAAAAGAATTTATCACTTTCCTACTGCTTCAAATGCTTCTTCAGCTTAACAGAAATCCTGTGTTTATTTGCATTTCTTTGTGAACTTCACACTGTGACTAATTGATTTCCTAGGTTTATTCTATGCTGTTTTAACTACTGTTTATAACTTTTTGTCAAAAATCTGATGAATCTGTTTACTTGATTTTTTTTCACTGATGCAATTCAGTGAAGAAAAATGATGATCGTTTTAGTAAATAAGACTGGAACAATTGCAAAAGCAGATGTTTTAGCTTGCCCATTTAGACTTGAAACTCATCTTTAATTAATTTTTTGTTTATGGTTTGAGATAGCGGTCAAGATTTATTTTCTCCATCTCTCTATCCATCTCTGAAATTTACTCTGCATTACCCTGGATCATCAATACTTAATTATCCTACTTCAATATCCAATTAATATTTTACTTTCCTAGTCTGTAAAATTGAAATAATCATAGCTCTCCTTCATTAGAGAGAATTGTATGACTTGAATCAAAACATGTATGCTATAGAAAAGCATCCAATCCATGGTCAACACCCAACTCTTAACACATAATCATGTTAAGAGGAAAGCCACTCATTCTCATTTTCTTCTGTGTGTGTGGTTTTTTTTTTTTTAAAGATTTTATTTATTTGTGCATACAGAACTGGGGTATAGGTTAGAGGCTCAGGGGCCCTGAGAGGCTTCACCAGAGACAGAGTGGGGAACAGAACAGGCAGATCAACGAAGTACACTGCTGAGGGGAGCAGCGGGGCGGGTCAGGAGAGGTCTGCCGGGCCATGTGGTCACCTCCGGGGCAGGTGGGAATCGAATTCATGTGGAAGTGGCTTTAGCTTCTCAGTGCTGTGCTTTAACCCACTGCACCACCAGGGAGGGCCCTCTTCTGTGTTTTTTAAAATTTGTCTGTCTTTATCAAGAATGGATGTTGGGTTCCAGTCAAATTCAATTGGAGATGACCTTTTGATTTTTTTTCTTCCAATGAAAGATAAGAGTCACATTCTAAGTTCATAGTAAATTCGTTCATTGGTGTCTGGCTTCAGCAGTGCAAATGGGACATGTTCCTTTTAATGTGGTGCTGGATTCTGCTTGCTAATATTTTATTCATGGGTTTTGTTTTGATTTGCACAAACATGATAAATCTCTAGTTTTCTTTGACAACCTTGGAGTCAGTGCTACTTTGACTTCATAAAGTAAATGTGGTAATTTTCCTCCTCACTCTACGCTGTGGGAAATTAACTGGTAGAAGAGATCTCTGGTCCTAATTTTAGGGCACACTTCACTTATGGAACTTTCTAGAGGACATTTGAAGTAGGCTTGTATTCCTGTAATATTCTATATTTTTTCTCCATGTCTATAGTTTAAACCTTCTGAACTCTATTGTCTTTATACTTAAGATTTCAAGATTTAGCAAACAAAAATTAGGCTACCCAATGAAATTTGGATTTCAGATAAAATACGTTCATAGTATGCTTGTCGCAAGCATTATAATTGTATTTATATTGTCCTAGAAAGTAATTTATTTCATCAGTTTCTAAATTACTTGTGTAAATGTAGGCAATCTTTTATAATATGTTTAACTTCCCCTGTATTTACTTCTCCATTCTTATTTCTGTTTTGTATGTTCACACTCCATTTATTTTACTGACTGATTAGCTAACAGCATATCTATTATACACGTGTGTGTATGTTTTCAAAACCTGTTTTTTATTTCAAAATTATCAATTCCTGTTTCAGTTGTCACTGAGTTCTTCTGCTTGCCTTCCTTGTAGTTCCTTACTCATTTCTTTAGCTGCTTTTTACATTTTGATTCATCCTAGTATAACAATCGAATGCATTGAATTTTCCTCTGTGCCCTGCTTTACCTGTATTCTGCAGAAGCTGATATGCACTGACCTCAGTGTTATTTTGAAGATAACTGCAGTATGGGTTTTGGTTTCTTCTGTGTAATGAGATATTTAAAGAGCCAGAAGTAAAAGTCCCTGGCTGAGTTGGTAATGCCAATTAGCTGGCTTCCATTTTTAAGTATTGAGTTCAAGTTGGCTATGAACCCTGGAGGTGATTAGTGGGTGGTCAAGCGGGTGGGTATGTGGGCTTGATACACCAGAAATGGGTCAGGACCCATTAGAAGTGGTGACTGATAGATAGTTGTTTGTTGTTTTTTGTTTTTTCTTTATTCCAATTGCTTTTTTTCCTTCCCCCTGGTCCCTTATGCTCCTGCTACTAGTGAAACCAACTGGTATTTTTCTTTTTCTTTTTGCCTTATTTCACTAAGCATGATCCCTTAAACACATACATACATAAAAAGAGTTGTAAGGAATTTTTTAAAAAGAAGTGGTGACTGAGCCTTGGGGTAGGGGGTCGAGTGAGTCAGGAGTGGGGCATCAGAGTGTCTTCTCTCCTGCCTCTCCATAACCGTGCAACAAGCAGGTGCACGATTGTGCCCTGTTGCTGCCAAGAGGCACTGCTGAGTCTCCCCAAGCTGGCCCCGAACCCCCCGGTTCCGGCAGCCTTCTTGGAACCTGGGCCATGGGTTTGGCCTGGGAGCGCAGACCCAAGAGTCCTGCCACTGCACTGTGAGCTTTGTGTCCAGCAGCCACTTTCTCCCCAAGGGTTTGGGACAGCTCTCAGTCATCAGCCCTCCTTGTCCCATCCGCTCCCTACCCACACAGATGACTTAGGGAAGTCCATTAGAGCTGAGCAAGGGGCTTTTGTTAAATAACAAGCAACTCAGGTGCAGAAAAGAAGCTTGGTATCCCCTCGGGCTGTAAAGTTCAGGGTGCCTGCTCGGGTGCCACAGAGGCTGCCACGTGGAGGGTCTGGGTGGCAGGGGCTGCCTCTGGCTCCCCCCAGGGCTGAAAGCCTCCACTCCTCCTTCTACCTAAGCCCACTTTCTTGTAGCTCCTAAACCGAAACTTACTTTCCAAAATCCAACCCTGAGAGGGGCTGGTGGCCTCCAGTGGGTGGCCCGAGTGCAGAGTGGGCAGCCCTGTGGTTCTCAGCAGTTCACAGTGACCACAGCAGGCTTGCTGCTGTGGGGAGCGTGTGACCTGTCCCCCTCCCTCAGTGAGACACTCTTTGTCCTCAGCTCTGTCTCCTGGAGTCTGATGGATTGCTCCTCCATCTTCCCAGCCAAACCTGGGAAGACACCAGGTCTGCTACCTCCAGACCCACACATGTTTGTATATGCATCAGATAAACAACAGTCCCCACATACATTCATGTCCCAACCCCTGGAAGCTGTGAATGTTATCCAGATGGAAAAGTGACTGTGACTAAGGATCCCGGGTTTATCCTAATTACCTGGCTGGGCTTTCTAGGCCATGAGCATGCTTACAAACTTTCAAACTTTCCCTACCCAGATGCACCCAAAGAGGGAGATTTCACACACAAAGGAGCAGGCCATAGACTGCAGAGAGAGGACTGGGGTGAGGTACCCACAAGCCAAGGAATGCCAGCAGCCACTAGAAGTTGGTAAAAGCAGGAGCGAATTTCCCAAGTCTCCGAGGGGATGCAGCCTTGCCCACACTTTGAATTCAATCCAGAGGTGCTAATTATGGATTCCTGACCTGAGAACCCATTTCTGTTGCCTTAAGCCACAAAATTTGTGGTACGTTGCTGCAGCTACAGAGACCCTGCTCCATTCTGTCAGGCCAAATTCCAGGGCCAGGCAAATGCTGATGCTTGACCCTACCGGGGGAGTGCTGCAGTGCAGGATGTTTGGGATGAAATGGGAACGCGCAGGGTTCCAGGTCAGGCCGGCAGGGCCCACCCGGCAGCTGACACACTCATGGTTACTGGGGGCTCCTCAACTCAGAGCCAAGGTTCTCAACCAGGGGTGATTTGGCACTGTCACGGCTGGCTGTGGGAATAAGGAGGCACTGCTGTGTGTTTTAAAGGGCAGAGGCCAGAGAGGCAGCTGCGCTTCCCAGTGTGGGAGCAGCACACTCACCCCAAGTGACCCAGCTCTTAGGGCTGAGGGCTGGGGTGGGACCTTAGGTCTTTCTTTTTAAAAGATTTATTATGCACACAAGAGCTAGAGTACAGGCACAGGTGTGGGGTGGGGTTGGGGGGTGGGGGAGATGATTCACCAGAGGCAGAGTAGGGAGCAGAACAGGCAGATCGACTGGAATACACTGCTGAGGGGAGAAGTGAGTGGGCCAGGAGAGGCCTCCCACGCCATGTGGATCATCTCCTTGGCTGGGCTCGAGTTCATGTTGCAGTGGCTGGCAATAGCTTCACAGCGCTGTGTCCTTAGCCACTAGGAAAGTCTGGATCTTACGTCTTTCCTCACATGAGGTTTCCTGAGATGGACCTTGGCAAGAGATGGTGGTAACTGCCTCCAAGCCACAGCCCTGCCTTCCCACTAACAGACAGAAACCCCAGAAAGTAGTGGGAGTGCTTAGCACTATACAGGAAAGCTGTCTCTGGTCCTTGGTTTTCTCGACTGTGTGGTGTGCTGAGGAGGACTTAGAGGCACTAAAGTGAATGCTGAAGGCGCATTCTCCCGGCTTGACTCTGAAGCAGGCTATACTCTGGCCTCCTCTTTAATCTTGGACAGGAGGAAATACAGATGGGGAGAGGGTATACAAAGAGTGGAGGGTGGGTTACAGTCCAGGAGAGACACCTGAGGAAGCTGGCAGACTAGGGCCGGGGCTCTGGGGAGTGCTCTGGTCCCCATCTCTTGCAGACCCACGCCGACCCCTGGGCTGCAGAGCCCAGACCCAGCCAAGGTGCTCCACTCCATGACCACGGCCAGCCTGGGCACATGATGGCGGATAGGATCTTGGAAGCAGCTTCCTCAGTAGCCTGAGGCCTCCCCGCCCTTCCTTGGATCTGCTGCTGCATACACACAGTGGCCCTCCTGGGACACCGCCTGGACCACATTCAGGAAAATGCGTCTTTCGGTCTTGTTCTGGCCTCGCTCCTGGAGCCCTTGCTGCACCTCCTGGAAAAGAGAAGGCCAGTTCACGGGTGATGACAGCTTGCCTCCACCTCCAGTAGGTCCAGGCATGGCTAGGGGGTCTGAACCCCCTCTATTGGCCAAGCAAGAAAGCAGGACTAGAGCCACAGAAGACAGCACTGAGGACTGGGAGGGTGCCCCCCCCCCCGCCTCATTTATGGAGGATGAAGTCTGCAGCTCCAGGGTAAGTTGATCCCAGCAAATGTGGAGGGAAGGCTGTCACCTAGGCCAAAGGGAGCTAGAGATGCTAACATTTCTGTCTTGGATTTGAGGACCCCAGGACTCCAGAGAGTCCCAGAGTGCAACACTGGAGGAAGCAATCCGGTGCCTTCAGTAGAGAAGATAAATACTGGGAACTTAGGCTCAGAGGCCTCCATTTTGAGAACCTTCAATACAAAGCTTGCAGAAAGTAGAACTTGGGGTCTTCAGAGTTCCAACTCCTCCAGACAAAGGAGCTGCCCAACTTAATGTCTAGTGCACTGCCTCGGGCTGGAAGAAAGACCGAAGCTTCACACGCTTCTCCACAGGCCTTGAGTCCAAGAACAGGCCAAGGGCACCAGGAGCCCTGAGGGTGATGCACTCAGAGACCACACCCTAAGGGTTCAGGCCTGGGATGCTGAGTCAGTGGAACCTGGTGGGTCCCCCCAGAACTGGCTTCCTAGAACCTGAGGGCCTTGCCTGTCAGGGACACAAGCCCTGAGTATAGAGACCTGTGACGCCCCAGGTTGCCAGTGACAATTTTGGGGCAACAGGTCAAGGACATTAATCTAGCAGGGCCCTAGATTATAGGGACAGCTAGGTACAAAGACCCTGACACTCTACAGTCCCTAGGCCAGGGCCTCTGACCTGGGGTCACCACCTAAGGCCACCACCTAAGCCACTGGCAGAACAGGGTCATAGGTTTCTGCGCTATCGGGTTGTAAGTTTCTCTGAGTGACTCACTAATTCCCCAGTGTTCTTAGACTTGAAAGCAGAAGATCTCCAGCTGAGCTCACACAGGGACCATGGTCCTGGGAGAGTCTAGTTACTCCAGGCCCTGAGGAATGAAGATGTTCCTGGGTCAGTTGCTGGCCTTGGTGTAAAGGCCCCGGAGTCTCAAGATCTCCAGCAGAAGGCCCTAGACCTGCAAGGCCAATTCTAACTCTCCAAGGGACCCTCTTCATGAGGGTTTTGGACTCATGGTTTGCTGGAATCTATGAACTCTGCTCCCAAGCTGTCATCTCTGAATTTTCAGCATCTCAATCCTGGGAGAATTGATGATCGCAGAGGAAGGCCATGAAGACCCACTGAAGGGGTTAACGGAGTATTTGATACCGTCGGGCCACATGGAGGACCCTGTACAGGGAGGGGGGTTGCAGACACTGAGATTTTGAGCTTGATGAGCTGAGGTCCTTTGTCATCAGGCCAAAGACCAAAGTTCTCAGGAACTACACACCCTCTTACCCCATCCACTTAGTGTGTGGTCTTCAGATTGGCCTTGAGATAAAGACAGATGATAACAAGTCACTTTCAAGGACCTTGAACCTCAGCTGCTGCAACTGTCTCTCTGGCAACCTCCCAGCAGGCAGTTCGAAGGTTTAAAGCCAAGAGTCTTTCAAATTAGGGCCCAGCAGAGGGCACCCACCAGCCCAGAGACATTCTGAAGAAGTGGACCACCTACCAGGTCAAGGTGCAGTGGCAGATAGAGGTGACAAGGAGTCTGATGAGAAAATTTATCTCCCTGGACCTGGCGCATTGGGAGAAAATCCCCGTGCAGACTCACACAGGAATAATAAACTCTTCTCCAAATAAACTAAGAGCTATAAGCCACACAAAAGGAAAGAGGCCAGGGCCAGGAGAATGGGCGACACAGCAGAGCAGGGCAGAGGAGCTGAGGTGCTTGGCCTGGAAGAGGCATGGCCAACACCCTGTCCTCTGACTTGGAGAAAATGAAGCTGGCCTGCTGCCCTCCTCTGCCACCCTGATGGTGCCCCAAACTGCAGTGTGTCTGGCCTACAAGCGGTAGCTGAACTTCCCCTCTGGGGCTTTGAGCAACATGCATGGAGGCTTCCAGCTGGCTGTGGCTCAGCCCACGGCCTCACCAGAGTGAAGTTGGCCTCATACTCCACAAGACCTCTTCTGTTCACATGCAGGATGGGAGCGGCGATGGCTGCCTGCAGGTCGAGGCCAAGCCACAGCTTGTTCACGATGGCCTGGGGGAGAAGAGAAGGGTGCAGGAGGGAGGGTCGCCTGCTGCCCCACACCAACCCCTGACCCTGTCCCCACCCATGCCCTGGAGAATAAGTCAAAATAAGTCAAAAGGACATTCCAACCAGAAGCCTCCAGACTCACCTGGGCCACGGCGGAGATGATGAGCTCCCCGCCAGCCCCACCAATCACCAGCTTCGATCCCTGGGCTATGTTGACCAAGATGGAGGGCACCATGGAGGATGGGGGCCGCTCACCTGGAACTGGAGGCCGAAGAGTGTCACTGTGCCTCCTAAAGCCCCCGCCCCCCAACCACCCCCTCCATCACTGCTTTGCACACCATGCTCACCAGGTGGGGGGGGGACGCCCGAGCCCTGGGGGTGCCTCCAGCACAAGTCCAGGAGTTCATTGTTGAGGATGATGCCCGTTTTAGGCGAGTACACCATCGCTCCAAAGCTGCAGAGCAGGGAGACACGACTTGGGCTCGGCCTTGGGCTCCGTCTCACACAGGGCAGGGCACCCACTCGCCAGCCTTCTAGGGGCCCCTCATTTTAGCAGTTGCCCTCCGGCATGCTGGAGCCATCCCCCCAAATCCGCCCATTTCCCCATCAGGGGGACCCTTCTGAGTAAGTTTCATCTGCAGCTGGGTCCTGGTCCCAGGTTATTCTGTCAGCGGCCTTTTCGGCCAAGGATGTCAGGGGTTTAGGGCCCTTTGACAGAGGACAGGAAGGGGTGGGCAAAATTAAGGTGCTGCCCATGGACACTAGCAAGGGGAGCTGGGGAACAGGCTGTCACAAGGAGTGGGGATTGGGACTGAAGTCGAGGGAGCCAAGGACTGGGGTCTGCCTGCCCGGGCCCCACGCACGGTGTGTTGATGGTGCTGGTGGCCGCCACGGCGCTGCCGTCTTCTCCCAGCACGGACACATGGGCCGTGCCCGTCGTTTGGCCCCAGAACCCAGTCAGATTGTAGTGGCTGAGCTGGTGGTCACCACGGTTGTTGATAGTCTTGCGGATGTACTGGGCCAGAGTCTCATCTAACAGGACCTGGGAGGCATTCTGGGGGGAGGGGCAGGTCCAGGGTCAGCAAGGGGCCAGTATGGCCTAAGCCCCTGGGGAAACATCTCCAGTGTATCCTCTCTTAAACCCAGGCAGCCCCCAAACTCTGCCCACCCTCTAGGTTCTCTGAGGTGAGATGCTCCCAATGCCTGCCATGCCTGCCACGCCTCTCTCTGCCAGCTCCCTCTCCCAGCAAGCGTGCCCATCCTGCCACTGCTGGCCAGCCCGGCCCAGACCCAAGTCCACGGCCCTGCAACCTCAGGAGCACCTCCCGGCTTGACCTTCCTGCACGCTGAACCCTGGGGCAAGGAAGTGGGTGCCACAGCAGCCCCAGGCCATCTCACCTGGATTCCCTGATGACTGCGAGGGTCCCACAGTCGCCATCTCTGTGCCATGGCAAACTTGAGTGTCTCCACAAGGCGGTGGTACAGTTCTATACTCCCCTTAGGCCTGGCCATGGAGTCTGAGGAAAAGTTGAACCCTGGGAAGGGGGTTGGCGCAGGTGGAGGGTCACTCTGTATAGAGGGTTGAATGTTAGCCACCCCATCCCCAAACATGTCCACATCCTAATCCCCGAAACTGTGAGTGCTACCTTACCTGAAGAGTGTGTGATGGAGCTAAGGATGTGAGAGGAGCAGATTCTCCTGGATTATCTGGGCAGTTCTGAATGGAACCCCATCATCCATGTAAGACTGAATGCAAAAGGTAGGGAAGACTGGACCGCCACGGCCCAAGCCCAGGAATGCCAGCTGCCAACAAAAGCTGGCAGAGGCAAACTCTAGGGGAAACGTGATTAATGTTGGACTTAGGGCCTCCAGAACCATGAGGAAATACGTATCTGTTATTTTGTTTGTTTTTGTTTTAAAGATTTACTTATTTATTTATGCATACAGAACTGGGGTACAGGCCAGAGGTGCAGGAGGGTGAGAGGCTTCACCAGAGACAGAGTGGGGAGCAGAACAGGCAGATGGGCGAAATACACTGCTGAGGGGAGCAGCGGGCAGGTTAGGAGAGGTCTGCTGTGCCATATGGGTCACCTCTGGGACTGGAGATCAAACTTGCACTGAGGTGGCTGCGGCCAGCTTGCAGTGCTGGGTCCTAACCAGTTGCACCACCAGGAAGGGCCCATTTCTGCTGTTTTAAGCACCAAGTTTGGCAGCCATCGGACACAAACAATCACCCTAGCCTGGGGCACTGCAGAGACCCCCCCCTCTCCACCCTGCAGGCTGTACTAAGCAGGCCCCATCTCAGCCCCGCTGCACACACCGGTTGGGCCACAGCATCTGCAGACCCCCACTGCTTTTGTGCCCTGGGACTGGGTTTGCAGTGGGAGGACTTGGTGTATGGAGGACATCAGACGTTCAGCAAAGCCCTGGTGTGGGCTGTGCCCGAGGCCAGCTCTTGAATGCACCATTTCTCCTGTCTCCACAAACTTGTCTGTGGTGTCATTCATCTGAGGAGGGGGGCAGAGCTGGAACTAGCAGTGGCTGTGCTAAGTTGTGGCTGGGAGCGAATGTTCCCGGTGGGGCAGGGCTCTAGCAAACGCTGAGTGAACCTTACCTTTGAGCACATTGAGGATGAAGCTGAGGATGGCGCCCCCTGCTGGTGGTGGTGGTGAGTACAGGATGTAGTTCTCCAGGGGCATAGACAGTGCGTCCACCACCTCAGGCTGGAATGATTCCAGGTCCTGCAGAGTCAGCTGACTGCCTAGGGTGAGACAGAGAGAGGCTCACCTACAGAGAGAAGATCACCTAGAGAGAGAGGTTCACCTGCAGAGGAGGTTCACCAACAGATCGGGCAACAGGAGCACAGTGCCAGACTCTGACCGCACGTTGCACAGTGGGGCTCCCCTTGTTCCCTAGTTTTTAGACCTAGAAGGCTATTGGCAGGTCTGTGGGCGTAGGCATCAGGTCTGGGCCTTAAGAGCTAAGCATGGGGTGGGTGGACAGAGATGAGAGGTAGGCAGGCTGGGGGAGAGGAAGGCAAGCCGGTCCGCCAGAGGGCAGCCAGCTCAGCCGTCTGGGCCTAACCCACGTCCAGGCCCAGAAGCCCACCATGGCCTACTCTGGCCAACTCTCCTCTGTTGGCTGAAATAGAAGGGCTTGAGGCAGAGCCTGACTCAGTCTCCAGCATGCACACAACCGCCCTTTTCCTCTGGCAGGGTAGGGGCTTCGGCCTGTCAACACAACTGACCTTCCTTGGTAATGTCCTCCACCAGCATCTTGCCCAGATCCCCTTTGTAGAAGGCTTCTGCACCCTTGGTGGCCACAGTTTCCAGGGTATTGATCAGTGCAGGCCACAGAAGTGGGTCTTCAGATGTCAGGGGATTTGTCCCATTGAAAAACAGCTGCCTGAGGGGTGGGAGCAGCCTTAGGAGGGGGCCAGTTCCGGAAAACATCCACATTCCTGCAGGGTTCTCAGGGGCCCTCGGGACCCTACCAGGAGGCAACACTGTTCCTGAATCCAAAAGGCTTGGATGGACTTGGGGATGGACAGATTCTCTGGAATCGAACTGACATCGCTTTCTCATTCATGGCACTGGCCCAGCCTAGGCAACACACCCATTGGAACGTGTGTCTGTGGAGAGTCAGCTCTTCCTGCACCCCTGGACCTTGTCCATGGACTGAAGGGTGGGCATGGGGCAGCCAAAGCCCTCCTGCCAACCCAGAGTGGGAAGGAAGGCAAGGCCAGGGCCAGTCGACTCAGAGCCCAAATTCTCCCCCCGGGGTCCTATCACTTGGATATAAACTCCCTCTGACCTGAACCGCTCCATCCTAGACCACCACGGGGTCAAACGTCCAGCACAAGAAGGGGCTGAGTGGGGTGGAGACCAGTCTCAGTTCGATTCCTACCCCCGCAGCCCCTCCCGAAGGGTACTCACTTCAAGGATGACTGGAGCAAGGCTTTCTGCAGCAGACTGTTATTCAGGAACTGACTGAGAACATGAGGCACATGGTAGTCCCCTTGGAGCAGCTTGATGGTGGGCTGGAACAGCTGTGCCCAGGGCAGGCGGCCGTGGCGCCGGTGGGCTTCTGCATAGCCACGGAGCTCCCCGGGAACCCCTATCCACTGGGCCCCTGCATGGCACATTATTAGTGTCATGTCCTTTTCCCTACAATAGCCCTTCCCTTGCATCCTCAGCTCTGTGGGTCCTAGGACTGCCCAAGGGGCTCTTGATCACACCCACACTTGGCCCCACTGGATCTGGGCCCCCAAACCCAGCCATGGCAGCCAGAGTGAACTTTCTAGAGGCCACCCCACCCCTGCTGCCCTCCATAGACAGTCCACCCACCCTCAGGGCCTAGCACAAGCTGGCCTCAGGACTCCCACCCCAACCTTCAGCCCATCTCCACTGGACCACATGGCCTTTGTCCCTTTGTGTGGATCACCCCTCCTCACTCAGAGAGCCCCTCCTGCAGGAAAACTCCCCCAACCTTAGCAGGACCTCCATGGTGGCTCCCCATTCCCCAGATGCTGGCACTGGCCCAGGCTGCCAGTCCGTCCATGAGGCACGGTGCCTTTGCGGGGGGGGGTTTCTGGTCAGGGCCCATGGCCCGATGGTTGGTCCCACCTGAAGACTCACCGGTGCCCAGTGGGTGGGCCTTCTTACACTGGTCCAGCAGCCCCGGGACATACGTAGCGGGCACCGTCTCCCTGGCATTGATGACCTCTGCCTTCCCTGGAGTTAGGACAGGGCATATGAGTGGTCACGGGCATTTCTGTGACTGCCAGGCCTCACTCCATACCGGAGTCCCCCTGCGTGACCCTGGCTCTGTCCCCTCTTCGTACCATGAACTGATCTCTGTGCTAACATTCGGGATGGGATCAGCCAGGAGACTGCAGAGACAGGGCAGGCAGGCACCAGGTGCACGAGAGGGGGGCACGGGCAGGCCGGACAGCTGGGCTCTTCACAAGCTCCTTGCAGTAAGCATGGCGGACAAGCCCACCTCCCCATCGTGCGCAGGCTCACCTGTGGTTGCGTTGTAGATGGTGAAGATGACTCCCCCACCCAGGCCCATGCTCTGAGGGTTCACGACGCCAGTGCAGACCAGAGCAGCGATGGCAGCATCCACGGGCGAGCCGTGCTGCTGGAGGATGGCTCTAGGGGACACGATCGGTGAGTGGCCCGGCTTTCCAGCCCTGGGTTTCTGCGCTGCTGCTCACTGGTGATGGTGATGGCTGTGGGGCCCAGCTGCTACCTCCAAGCCCCAGGTTAGGTCATGGGGTGTCCCCTCAAGTCCAGCCACTGCCGGGCACGCTCCACAGGCTGCGAATTGTCTTCCCTTCACCCTGACCCTAGACTTGGGCAACGTTCTCAGTTTGCAAAGTGTTTCTGTTGTCATGGTTCCCAAGTCCTCCCAGACACCCCAGTCCCTCTCAGCAGCCCCAGGAACCCACCCTGGACAGCAAACACCCCATCTCACTGGAGACATAATCAGCCCAACCCCTTCAAAACAGGGCTTTTTCAGGGGACACCAGGATCCCATCCTGCCACCAGGGTGCAGGGTTTGGACTGGTGGGCCTGTGGTACCCCTCTGGGCCCCGGTGTCTATGGGAATGCCTTAGTCTCTCCCTCTGTCCATGGGCAGCTAGGAATCAGCCCCTCACCCAAGATGCTGGTCAGAGTAGCCGGTGCATGGAAACAACCCAACCCAGCCCTTGGGACACAGCCCTGCACAGCTCACCAAGGATGCCCTCTTCCCTCACATCCAAGAGTCCTGCCCAGCACTTTAAACCCCAGTTACAGGGGTAAAGGCCAAGGCCCAAAGGGGGAGGAGACCAGCGTTGATTCAGACTCAGGGACTCAAATGCAACCTCTATGCTGATGACCCCAAATATTATCTCCAGTCCAGTTGGCTCCCTTAAATCCTGGACACTAACAGCCAGCCATCCACAAGATAGCTCCCTGGAGGTCCAAGAAGCCCTCAATCTTTTAAAAAATTATTTTATTTATCTATTTATTCATACAAGAACTGGGGTGTAGGCCAGAGGGGTAGGGAGAGGGAGGTGAGAGATTCACCAGAGACTGAGTGGGAAGTAGAACAGGCAGATCTACTGAAACACACTGCTGAGGGGAGCAGCGGGGAGACAGGAGTCCAGCCTCCTGGCCAGGATGGAACTCAGGCTGCAGTGGCTGCTGACAGCTTCCTAGTGTTGAGACTTAACCCCTTGTGCCACCAGGGAGGCCCAAGACACCCACTCTTAGCATAACCCGAACTACACTTTTCACTTCCCTCCCATCTCTGTCCCCAAAACTGCTGTCCTGCTCTCCACCCTCAGAAGGGACAGAACCATTTACCCTTTTTGCACCAGCCAGTCATATTTGAAGTCACCTTTCAGTTTCATCGCCACATCAAATTCTACCAGTTTTTATTTATTTTTTAAAAAGATGTATTTACTTAATGCATAGAGAACTAGGGTACAGGCCAGAGGAGCAGGGGCGGTGAAAGGATTCATCAGAGTCAGAGCAGGGAGCAGAACAGGCAGATCGACGAAGTACAGTGCTAAGGGAAGCGGTGGGCGAGACAGGAGAGGTCTGCTGTGCCATGTGGGTCACCTCCGGGGCTGGGGATCGAACTCTTGCTACAGCAGCTGCAGCCAGCTTTGTGGTGCTGCGCTTTAACCCGTTGCACCACCAGGGAGGGCCTCTACCAGTTTTTATACTTTTGAAATATATCCACAGTCCAATTTCTTCTATCACCTCCACCACCACCCAGGTCCAAGCCACCCGCATCTGTCGCCCGGGGTTATTACAAGGGCCTCCCACCAGGCTTCCAGCCTTTGCCATGCTACCTTATATATATATATATATATATATATGTACATATTTTTTTAAAGATTTATTTATTTGTACATACAGAACTGGGGTACAGGCCAGAGGCTCAGGGGCGGTGAGAGGCTTCACCAGAGACAGAGTGGGGAGCAGAACAGGCAGATCTACTAAGTACACTGCTGAGGGGAGCAGCGGGCGGGTCAGGAGAGGTCTGCCACGCCATGTGGTAACCATGGGGCAGGTGGGAATCGAACTCATGCAGAAGCGGCTTTAGCCTCCTAGTGCATGTGCCCTAACCCGCTGCACCACCAGGGAGGGCCAACTACCTTATATTTTAACAAAATAATCTGTTTAAAATATAAATCAGACATCCTGGTAATAAGAGACTAAGTGATTCAGCCCAAACTTTCCACAAACAACTAGGAAAGCCAGACCAATAGGAAACATCTACTTCAAAGAATCAGAGGCAGTAAAGTAACTGGCCAGAAAGAGGTGTGAGCTGGCATTTGGAGCTCCCTCAAGGTGCCAGTCTAGAAAAGGTGGCTGGAGCCCATGTTTCTGGAGGCAAGGGGTGGGGTGCTGGTAGTGCACCCTTGGAGGTGGATCCTTGCTAGGAAAAACAGAACTAGAATTAGACCAGCCCCAACCAGCACGGCGGCCCAGTGTCAAGTCACCTCAGTCTCTGGAATTAGATTTCCCCCAGAGTGCTGGAATCCTAAACAAGAAAGCTTAATTATTTTTAACAATTTTGCACATACTCTCCAGTGTTAGGTTAAAAATAATAAAGCAGGCCCTCCCCGGTGGCGCAGCGGGTTAAAGCACTGCACTAAGAAGCTTAAGCCACTTCTGCATGAGTTCGATCCCCGCCTGCCCCGGAGGAGTTCCACATGGCTGGCAGACCTCTCCTGACCGCCGCTGCTCCCCTCAGCAGTGTACTTGGTCTGTCTGCCTGTTCTGCTCCCCACTCTGTTCCTGGCGAATCCTCTCACCCTCCGCATCTCTGGCCTGTACCCCAGTTCTGTATAAATAAATAAATCTTTAAAAAAATAATAATAAAGCAAGCAACTGTAGGCATAAGGAAACAGGATGGAGGTGACCACATAGGGTCAGAAATGCAGCCAGAGACCATACCACGAGTCTGTCTGGCTAAAGCTCAACAGACCCTTGCCACCCTGGACCTGGCACCCCCCTGCGGGCCTCAGTGGGGGCTCTCTGAGGCTAAGCAGCAGGCCAGTCCTCTGACAGGTGCTTTTTGCTTGACTCACCGTGATGGTAACTGTTCAGGACAATTGTGAGGCTGTCAAACTGGGGGGTGCTGAGGGACTCTGAGGTTCTTTGCAAGAAAGAATTCACAGGGGAGTTAGGGAAGGTGAGTCAGAAAAGAAGCGTTACTGTAGGCGAGATTACACACCCAGAGAGCGCACCGCAGATTCAGAGGCGGATCGCCCTGGGGTCTTTTTTATTTGGTGATTAGTCATTTATTTTTAATAATTTATTTGTTTATATATATTTTACATCTTTTTTTTTTTTTTTGGTACATTGCATGCTTTCTTTTCTCAGGTGTTCCCCATAGAATTTCCACCGCCAACTCACATGTGCGCCATCACCATAAGGGCTGATACAAATACTTGCATAGTTTGAGGGTGCCAAGGCTCACAGATGGGGTCCTAAATGGGTTCTGACAACTTTTGCAACAGAGGCAGGAATTTACAGATCGGGGTAATGAGAGTTGGCCAATTTTGTCGATCACGGGCATCTGACCCCCAGCTTCCTGTTTGATACCGTAGGAGTTTTATAACTAGTGGCATCTGGTGTAAGATAAAGTAATGGGGTTGGAGCCCAACAATAGGATTTAGGTCACATTGTTCCGAAATGTGCACTGCTGATTTTCAGATATGCTGGATGGGCGGAAGCAGGAGGCTGAAGCCATTGTGCCAAATTCCTGAAGGCAAACCAGCACTGCAGGGACATTCATCCATTCGTGTGTTACAGATACAACTCAGCTGAGCTTAGAGAAATTGCTGAAGAATTCCCTAATGCTGTCACAGGCCCTCTAGACTTTGCCAGCGAGGTTAGCATGCAGCAAGTTATTCTGACTTACGCTAACTTATTCACAAGAAAGCAGAGCCAAAGAATCATGACTAAAGAAAACTGGAAAAATACCTTAGGAAACTTCCCCAAGAAAAGAGTAACTGATCAGACAAATGCTCTTGAATTAGAAAAAGTCCTCCGCATCCCTGATGTCTTCCCCAAAATAATAGACTAGGAAACACCTCAGCAGCACATTCAAATAACTCAGGGACTTCTTTAAGAGATTTGAAAATATTTTTCTGCAATATTTGGGTGGAGATGATATAAACTGTATAATACTTTTTCCAGTTCAATTCTTCCTTTGGTTCGTCAGCCAGAGGAACAACGTGTCACTTGGGCTCAAAGGCACCAACCTGAGCCCCTGTGAGAACGCATGGTCTGATTAATTTGGCTGAACCATTCTCCAAAACCCTTTAAAAAGCTGCCAAAACAAACAAACAAACAAAAAAAAAAAACCGTGTGTCTCAAGTTCTGAATGTACAGATTCAGACTGCATGTTCAAATGTAGCAATCAATGCATAAATCACCTGATCCTATTTCCAAGCCCATAAAAATAATAGGACCGCTCCAAGGAAATCCAGGCAAAACCTAACTAAACCTCATTAAACTATGTGTGTTACTTGGCACAAGTTGCTAACATTTACACTGATAGCAATATGCTTTTGGAGCGCCTCCTGATTTTAACATGATTTGGAAACAGAGGATTTTTTAAAAAAGATTGATTTATTTATGCATGCAAGAACTGGGGTATAGGCCAGAGGTGTGTCGGGGGTTGGAGGGGTGATGAGAGGATTCACCAGAGACACAGTGGGGAGTAGAATAGGCGAAGCTACTGAAATGCACTGCTGAGGGGAGCAGCGGGCAAGACAGGACAGGTCTGCAGCGCCATGTGGGTCACCTCCCTGGCTTGGATCAAAATAGTGCAGGAGTGGTTGCCATAGCTTCACAGTGAGGAGACTTAATCCCTTGCATCACCAGGGAGGCCCCCAAAAGGGATTTTTGACCTCCTGAAGGAAACCAAGTAAAAACAGCTACAGGGCTCTCCCTGGTGGCACAATGGGTTAAAACCCAGCACTATGAGGCCTTCTACAGCCACTGCAACATGAGTTCGATCCCCAGCAAGGGAGCTGACCCATATACGAAGGCAGACCTCTCCTGTCTCATCCGCTGCTCCTCTCAGCAGTGTAGTTCAGTGGATTTGTCTGTTCTGCTTCCCACCCTGTGTCTGGTGAATCCT